CCCCAAAACCCCAAAACCCCAAAACCCCAAAACCCCACACTAAATTAACCGGATTGAGATGGATAAATAGATTTTTTATCAATAAAAATATTAGAGATGGAAATGAAATATCCGAAAAAATTTATGAACTGGTGGTTAAACAGCTTCATATACATCATGGCAATCCCAACTGCACTTCTGCTGATGAACACTTTGTATAGAACATACAAGGAGCTCCGAGAATCATATTTTGACCTTTTCCGGCTTAGCCAATACTTGTTTCTCCTAGTTTATTTAACTGCATGGATGATCTTCTACTTTACAATAACTTTTGATGTTGATATAAAAGTCTATGAGATTGCTGTATGGATTGCAAGTGGGACTAATATTGCGTATATATAGTGGTCAATTTGTTGCTCTGGGTTTTGGTAATAGTTCATTTGTCTAACTTGGTTAAGCTAGATAAAGGCCAAAAGTTTATTAAAAATCGGAAAAAGGTCATCAGAATAGAAATATTCAGTATTTTAATTGCCTTAATGATCTTCTTCATGGTGCTAACAGTAAATGGAATATCAGCCTTCTATGCAATTAGGAAGGAAAATGGTACCCAAGATTTGGAGGAAGAAGATGATAAGAATGAACATTTTATTATTATTGATATTATATCTTGAGTATTATCAATCACTCTTTATTTGATCTTTATGAGCTCTGAACTATACTTAATCATCAAGCTGATGAAGCTTGTTAAAAAGTATTGCCATTATGACAAGCAATATAGCAAATTTTTTCCATGGCTTGCAGGAAGTAACATTATTTATTACTGGTTCCAATTAGCAACATTCATAACGATGTTAGCTACTCAAACAACATATTGTGATCTCTCAAGAGTTGATAAAGATTCAACGGGCATGTCAAGAGGAGTCAAAGTGATGCTGTTTGTCTTCAACAACAACCTCCCACTAGCTTATGCTTATTTGAACATAAAAAATGTGAGCTTCAAGACCTATGTAGCCAACATCTTGCCTGGCATTGGCAAGCCTTATCTTTGTCCATCAAAGATATCGCTATTCATTGTGCCGTCTTGAAGAGATGACCCTGATAGCGATGAGGTAAGTTTTGATTAATGAATATTTAGGAAAGAAAAGAAGAAAGCGGAATGAGTGGGATCAATCATTCAAATACTCAGAGCTACATACTTTCCGAAGACCTCCCTCTCTTAGACCACGAAGGAATCTCCAGTGTCGAAAACATCGTCTCAAATCACGTTCTCAATCACCGAAGTGGGCATAACAATTCCTATTTTCAACTAGACTAACCCTTCTTGGGGTTTTGGGGTTTTGGGGTTTTGGGGTTTTGGGG